ACATCATTTGAGATCTCTAAGATAATGTATTTCAATCTTGTGAATCATCTTCTCAAAAGTTATGGTAGGTAATGCTTTAACGAATAAATTTGTTGGATTGTCACTTTGATGTATTCTTCCTTCAATGGAATTATGCAAGTAACATTATCCTCGTATGATATTATTGAAACTTTTTTTGTTGATAGATAAACCGCATATCTCTTAGATATGATGGATCGTTGATCTTAGCCAAACACATTCTCAATTTGCCTCGTGAATTAATACTTTTGTATGATTTGAAGATATAGCGACTATAGTTTGCTTCATGGAACACCAAGATATAGTTGTATCTCCATATGTAAATATATAACTAGTTATGATCGAGTTTTATATGGATTAGATAAATAACTTGTATTTACATAACTAATTAATCTTGTCTTTAATTTATTGGAGTAATATAAGTCCATATCAATTATTCCTCGAAGATAACATAGTATATATTTAACTTTATTTCAATGTCTTTGTATTGAAACAAAACTATGACTTGCTAATAAATTTATAAAAAAGACTATATCGAGTCAAGTTTTAGTAGCAAGATATATCAATGCACTAGTGGCACTAAGATATGGTACTTCGGGACCAAGTAGTTCTTCGTTATCTTCTCGAGGTCGAAAAGGGTCTTTTGGATATCAAGTGAATGAACTACCATTGGGCTAGTCAATGAATGATCTTTATATAGAATTATTGTAGAACATTTTCTATATAAATTGATCGATGAATAAAAATCTCATTCTCCGAGTGCTCGAACTACGAGTCAAGATAACATTTTTTTCTCTAAGGTATTCACATCAAATTCTCTTTTTAGACAACTTATGACATTTGAAATCTCTTCGGGAGTTCCAATAATATTTAAGTCATCAACATATACAACAAATCCTTTTTCAAATAAAAATATATGAACAAATAAGGTTATTTTTTTATAACTTTCTTTCAATAAATAATCATTGAAGTCATTATATCATATGCAAACGGGTTAGTAATATACGGTAGATAAAAATATAGTATAAATTGAATTTTTAAAAACTAAAATAATAAAAAAATACTAAAATATTTCTAATAGAGATCTCTATAATTTAATTGAATTCTTTTCTCAATAATATGTATTACATACTTCGGCATGTTAAGTTCTTTTAGGACTTTCATATAGATATCATTTCAAATGAACAAATAAAATGTGATCATATTTATTAAATGCATGCATATGACTTTTTTTATATATATTTTGCCAGGATAATGAGATAACAAAATAAAATTGCATCAATTAAAGGAGAACATACCTACTTATAGTCAATTTCAGCTCTTTGTGAAGACTCTAGTGTTAAAAGTCTTGCTTTGTATCTTACAATCTTATCTTTCTTATTTCGTTTGTGTATAAATACATATTTGTATCCTACAAGCTTAACATTTTTAGGTGTTTTAGATATGGATTAAAAAAAAATTAATCTTTTATAAGATAATATAATTCTGTCTGGATTGCTCTTTTCATTTAGGTCAATCATCTTTATGTCGATATTTTTCAATAATTTAGGCTCGGGATCCTTATTTTCATTCAAAATATCAATTGCAATATTATATGCAAAAATCTTATCAATAGATGTTTCTTTTTTACCCTATTTTCTCTCTCGTATTGATATAATGTATCAAAATCTCTTGATTTTTTTTAAGCATTTGGACTTCTTCTAGAAATGTATTATCGAAATATCTTGGACTATTTTATAAATATTTTCATCTTGCCTTTTTTTTAGGGATTTTTGTCTTTAGAACCGATCGGTCTTCCACGCTTCGGATGTGCTTTAGATTCATTAGCTATATCATTAATAGACTCGTCCCTCTATGACATCAATTTTAATAGAAGCATTTTCAACGAGGACATGCATTTTAGTTACTCTTTTAGGATATGAGAATACATCTAACAGTTGGGTTGTAATATCTTGTAAACGAATTATCTTTTGAACTTTTAGTTCACATTGTTTTGTACCAAATTGATATAAAGATAGAGTACTCTATGTAATCTCCTTTTTTCAATATTTTCAATCGCTTATTTGTTTACTCTCTCCCCTTAATGTTAGAAAAACTTGTTTATTCTGTTTCATTAAAATAACGAGTCAATAAATCAAGCTATAAAAATATTACTTATTCATGATTCAAGATATTTAATTATCGAAAAGGATTCAAGTCCAACATATATTTCTAATCTCCTTTAAGTATCCAGTTTATTTTGTTATGAAAGAGCACTAGGATCTACTCTGCAATGCGAAAAATTCTTAAATAAAAAAAAATCTTTGACTCATGATCATAAATTAATTAAAGAGGAGAGAATTTTTTATAACTAATGGGTTTGATGCGAATAAGTGTTACTGCATGTAAGATTGCTCGTCCCCAAACATAAACAAGGAGTTTTATTTTTAAATAATGGTTTAGTTATCAATTGGAGCCTTTTGATAAATAATTCCGCTAAACCTTTCGAGTATGAACATGAGCAATTGGATGTTCAACCTTTATTCTAATAGCCAATCAATAATAATTTAATGCTTGAGAAATAAATTCACTAGCATTATCAAGGTGACTTGTTTTAATGACATAATCTGAAAATTATGCTCGAAATCAAATTATTTACTAATAATCTCGAAAAAATCAGGTTTCGATTAGATAATAAGCATATATGTGACCATCTTGTGGATGCATTTATTAAAATCATAAAATAGTTAAAATGGTCCACATGGTGGATGAATTGATCCACATATATCACCTTGAATACATTCTAAAAATATTGAAGATTCAATCTCAATTTTACTTGGTGATGGCTTAATCATCAATTTGCTTTGACAACATGCAAAACATGAAAATTTATTAAATTGAAGAATCTTCCGGCTCTTCAATAGATGTCCATATGAATTTTTAATAATTTTTTCGCATTATGAAAGACCCAAGATAACACAACTGGTCATGTCAAATAATAAAAGTATTTGAATTAGTAAACTTCGGTTTACTATAGCATTTGTTTCAATCAATCGAATATTTTTAATAAAGACTAGAAGAGAAAGCGGATAAATTTTTCAATACATATTTTTTACCGGGTATAATGATTATAATATTTAAGTATTCACATTTGCTATCTTGATACGATATCAATTTAGATGAATATCTTTGAAACTCAACAAATTTATATGAGACTTTGAAGAGAATATAACATCATTTATAATAAATTTATCCTTTCGGATAATATATTTTTTCTTCTGGAGCCTTTAAATTATGCCACTTCAAGTAATAATATATTGACTCTTCTAAAGCATGTAAAAGCTATCTTTTCAAGTAATAATATATCCACTCTTCTAGAGCTTCAAAAATTTATCTCTTCGAGTCATAATATAATCGCTCTTTTGGAGATTTCTATTTCATTTATATTATCATATAAAATATTAATACAAAATAATAAAATAAATAAATAAATTCTTCATAGCCATAAATAAATAAATATATAGTAAAATAAATTTATCACTATCTTTATGCAATTGTAAGAAAATATAAAACATTTTATTTATAAATAAAAAAGCTAACAAGTTATTAATTTCAATTACTTCCATTTTGATATATAAAATTGGTCTCTATATTTTTTTCCTTTTTCAACGAGGTTTGATAAGGCTTAATGAGGTGCTTTGGTGTACGGTAGGTACACATCCAATGTCCATTCATTCCACATCTATAATACTTATTTTTCGAATGTCGACTTTATCTATTTTCATTCTTTTTTTTATATAGTTATCCACTTATAGTGGTGAGATGTAATATTATGGTCATCATGATTATAATGATAATTATTTCGACTACGTCCATGACTATGATCACATCTTCTTCCATGCCTAAAATTATTATAAATTATCACATTTACTTCGGGGAATGTAGTATATCTAATTAGTTGAGATTTATTCTTTTTCATCAATAGCTTGTCATTTTATTTAGCCGCCATGAAAAAGTGTGAAATTGGTTCAAAATATTTCTTAAACTCTTTTTCTTGATATGCTACTGTAGGAGTATATTCGAGATATGAAAAGTAGATGATATTAACTTAGCATTAAGCACTCATGATCAATAATTCTTGCCCAAAATGTCAAGGGCCACAAAATTGAAGCACTTATGCGAAGAAATCCAATGGTTGAAACAATTGATTAACTATTTTGGTGGATACATACCTCGTGATCTATTGTCCGAATTGGTTAGAGTTTCGTGCCGATAACGTGTTGTAAAAAAATAGAAATAATAAGAGAATTGAAGGAAATAATGATAAGAAAATGAAATTACTATAATGTGAATACAAGTGATAAAAACTTCAAAGTTTCTCTTATTCTTTCTAGAAAACTTATACACCATCTAATGAACAATCAAACCTATTTATAAGTTTCAAAATTGAGAAGAGAATTGAAATGGATCATGAATAATTAAAAGTACATCAATTGCATCACCCTTTTAATTTCTCATATTGAATGATAAATTGAATCATATTAAGAATTATGAGTAGTGAGGATATGAAAAATAGATAAACATTCATATGGACATTCATTATTTCATAACATTTTGGAGTTTTTTGTTAAGTAAATTATATATTAGTCATTGTTTTGGAAAATAATTTTATTAATATTTTTTATTTTAAAAATTAATTATTTAGTTTTCATATTTTTAAATCTATTTTCAACTTATTTTTTTTTCTCATTTTCAATTTATTTTGATTTTTTGTTTAAATATAATAAAAATATGTAAAGATTAACTAAAAGGATTAATTTATAATTTACCCGTTTCTTGTTGGAAAGGTCAAGTCCCTCCATTTATATTAATACCAAACACCAGTCCCCTCTCTCTCTCTAACCCAAAAAATAAAAATCGCTTCGCTTCTTCTTCAGTCTTTGCTTGGGTGAGCTTCAGTGGCTTTCTAGCTTTATGATTTGAATCGATCGATTAATTAATTAATGGCTCCGGCAGCAGTTGGTGACGATGAGATATTGAAGGACGAGAAGAATCCTCCTCCTCTCGACGAAGACGACATTGCTCTCCTCAAAACTTATGTATTTTCGATTTACTTTAATTTTTGTTCTTTTTATTTCTTAACAATTCAATTCTGAATGTTGGGTTAATTAATTACTGCAGGGTTTGGGTCCATACTCGAACAGTATTAAGAAAGAAGAGAAGGAAATCAAGGAATTAGCTAAGAGGATTAATGATCTTCGAGGTAATAATCCTCAATTTCTCCTTTTCACTCTTTCATTTGTAGATTTAAATACCTAGTTTAAGCTTTTTTTTTTTAAAAAAAATTGTTTTTGATTTTGGATCTGAGTCTAGACTTCCAGTGATTGAAAGTTTCGAAATTTAATATGGCTTCTATTGACTTGACTGCTGCAGGTTAAGAATCAGTTTATGATACCATAGGAGCTTGAAAATTAACAAAAAAAAAAAAAAAAAAGAGATAGATGGGTTTTTTTTTTTTTTTTCCTAATAGATGTTTTAATGATGTGTTCTTAAAATTTTCCCCAAATTAGGTTGTTTCGATCCTCGAATATGATCTTACAGCGGGGATAAGTGTTAGTTGGGTTGTTAATTGATAATATGCTCTCAATCTGTTGTTCTTGCTTCTTTTTTTTTTTTTTTCCCCCATGTGTTTTGTTTCCATCAAACTCCTTGTTGAGCAACTTCTTGTGTGATTACCTTGCTCTTCCAAGGAGTGTATCATTTATAGGCTTCCTTTTTTTAAAAAAGAAAGTCTGGGGCCTAACTTGTTCTAAGAGTGATTATTGATGCTTCTTTGATATTTAGGCATTAAAGAATCTGACACCGGTTTGGCTGCACCAAGCCAGTGGGACCTTGTGTCTGATAAGCAGATGATGCAAGAAGAACAACCACTACAGGTTTGATTTCGGGAATTTTTTTCTCTTGGTTCAATAAAAAGTAAAAAATCACTTGTTATTTACTTTTGAATAGTGAGGAACGGGTTTAAGACTGCCTTTTTTGTTTTTGCTGCATCAGGTTGCAAGGTGCACAAAGATTATTAATCCGAATACTGAGGACGCTAAGTATGTCATAAATGTCAAGCAAATTGCAAAGGTGTGTTTCTTTAGAATGTTGTCTTAAACCATTTTCTTCTGCCTCCTTATTTTTCATGTTGATGCTGGTTACATTAACAAGGGCTCAAATGATGTGCCTCAGTTGCTGACTTTTTGTCATCGTTGCTTTTTTTAATTTTGTTTTAAATTTTTTGAATGAAATTTTACATATTGAACATTGTCAATTGTGGTAGTGTTCTCATTACTCAGTTGACGTGTGCTACTAATATGTTTAGTGGACCATTCTAACATTGTACTGGCTCTTTAATTTTAGTTTGTGGTTGGGCTTGGCGACAAAGTCTCCCCTACAGATATAGAAGAAGGCATGCGAGTTGGGTATGTTTCCGTCTTTGATCTATTTTAAGGTTCTTTCTACCTTTACATGTTTGGCTGTGAGTATGTGTGTGTTCAACTCCATATATATATATATATATATATATATATAACAATCTGACTGCTGTTGCAGTGTTGATCGCAACAAGTATCAGATTCAGATTCCATTGCCTCCAAAGATTGATCCAAGTGTTACAATGATGACTGTAGAAGAAAAGCCTGATGTTACATATAACGATGTTGGTGGATGTAAGGAGCAGATAGAAAAGATGCGAGAAGTGCGTATACTATTTATGATATTTATCTTCATTCATTCATTTACACTTTATATTACATACGTAAAGCACAAATAAAAGATTTTTTAGATGATGTCTCAATTAAATTGCGTTATTTTCTAGGTTGTTGAGCTTCCCATGCTTCACCCAGAGAAATTTGTAAAGCTTGGAATTGATCCTCCTAAGGGTGTTTTGTGCTATGGTCCTCCTGGAACAGGCAAAACCCTCTTGGCTAGAGCAGTAGCCAACAGAACTGATGCATGTTTCATTCGTGTTATTGGGAGTGAACTTGTCCAGAAATATGTTGGTGAGGGGGCACGAATGGTTCGGGAGCTTTTTCAGGTCAAACATTGTCTATTGAATTTGTAATTTATTTTACAGAACTTATCCATTGCATATGTTGAACCAGCATTTGATTCACTGCAGATGGCACGGTCAAAAAAAGCTTGCATTGTCTTTTTTGATGAAGTTGATGCAATAGGTGGTGCACGTTTTGATGATGGTGTCGGTGGAGATAATGAAGTTCAGCGAACCATGCTTGAAATTGTCAATCAGCTTGATGGTTTTGATGCTCGAGGAAACATCAAAGTCTTGATGGCAACGAACAGGTAAATTGGCTACCTAACTGATGTATATATAATTTGCTTGTTTCTTCTACCATTCAATTAAGAAATATTTGCTTTAAATTGACTCATTAACTGGCAATACTTTTTCCACATTCTGATCTCTGATGCTTTTATAGTTTGTTCACAAGCAAATGTACTAGTTTGCAGTTTCTGTTTCTCTGGTACCTTACTTTGTTCTATTGTTTACAGACCTGATACACTGGACCCAGCTCTGTTACGACCAGGAAGATTAGATCGTAAGGTTGAGTTTGGGCTGCCTGATCTGGAGAGCAGGACTCAGATTTTCAAGATCCACACACGAACTATGAACTGTGAAAGAGATATTCGTTTTGAGCTGCTTGCTCGCCTTTGTCCAAATTCAACTGGTAGGATACTTCACTGAACGCTTTACACACAATGCTCCCTTAAATAAACCTCTCAACTATCCACTGGGAGAAAAAAAACAGAAGGAAAAAATCTACGAACTTCAGGGCATGACATTTAGATTAGTTCATAAAACTGAACACTTTTTTTTTCTCTACCAAGGAAGTGAATCCTGTGTACATGGTGTGTAGATTAGAATATAGAAGCAACCAAAATGGTCACATACACTGAATGTAGTCTAGTCAAGAGTTATATGATAGAAATATATTTCACATAATTCAACCAGTACTATGCTGCGACTTCAAAAAATCCTTGTTCTTTTTTGCAATTATGAAATTGGCATGGAGAGCATCAGCAGTTTGTATGGTTATGTTTGCCTGTCTAAAACGTTTAATGTCTTTCCATTCATTTTATTAGAAATTTTGACTTGGGATTGTTATGCAGGAGCTGACATTAGGAGTGTCTGCACTGAGGCCGGGATGTATGCCATTAGAGCACGCAGGAAGACAGTGACTGAGAAAGACTTCCTTGATGCAGTAAACAAGGTCATCAAGGGCTACCAGAAGTTTAGTGCAACGCCGAAGTACATGGTTTACAACTGAGGGGAATGCTGTGCTTAGGAATTTCTGGGTGTATTTCATGTTGCAACTGTGCTTCTTTAACTTCAAATCTATATTGGTTTTTGCTTTGTCACCCCATCATTTCCTGTCGCCATCTTTGAGCTAGCTCCATTGGGGAAAAAAGAAACACTGTATGTTATTTGTCTGGTACTCTTTTTAAGTTCTAGAGCTGGCTTTTGGTGCCCCAAATTTGGTGAAATATTGACCAATATGGCCTTGTTTTTTCCATGTTTAATTGAAAAGCAAATGACTTGTCTGTAACTTGAATAGCGTGCAACCAGGCAGATATGGTCATTGAGGTAGAACGATTTTGAACTATCAGACAAATGAAACTGGAATAATATTTCGAGATCGATGGATAGCGGTGGTATTAATCACCACCACTTTACAGACTAAATAAACTAGAAGATTCAATCGTTCAAGGATGGGCACAGAATAACACGAACTTATTTCGTGCGAGAACAAAAATAATCCAGGGATATATAAGTTGCTAGGTATGAAATATATTCAACTCCTATTTCTTTTACATGTAATGATTCGAACATTAGAATTTACATTTGTTGCAAAGAAACTCATGTAAAGTAAAGTAAGATTTCAAAACTAAGCTACATGTGGCATCTGAAAGCCCCCATGGAGATGAAAGAGGCCTGGATGAGCATTCGTGCAGGTTTTGTCATCGGCGAACTCAGCAAGCACCACAAATGATCAATATCAGCACCGATATGAAAGCAATTGTTGTTGCCAGATTTTCTTTTCTTCCTGCAAATGAACGTCCTGGAGGTGTCTCATGCTTTCCTAGATCGATCATGATCTCAAATCGACAAGTATTTTGAGATGGATCAAGTTTTGTAAGGGTTGATAAATTAGAAAATGAGCACGCACCCTTCCTTTGGTTCATGGTCTGATAGTAGATGTTAAAAGCATAAGAAGCATTGCCTCTAGCATCTAGCGTACCACAGGAAGATCCATTTCCAAGACTTGTGCAATCTGCATAGGTGCAGGCATAGGCAATGCTGTTAGGCAAGTTAGGGTCAGAAATGCTGGCTTCAGGTGACATCACACACCACTGCCTTGCCAAATATTTTACACCTCTTGCCGGAACTAAAGGTTTTCCATTACCCATATCCAACTGGTACTTGATGGTCCCATCATAATTGAAAATACCCCAGTGCCTCTCGAAATTTCCAGGTTGGACGCTCTTCGCATCCTCGTCTGTGAGTGAGAATAGGTAGATATCTGGTGGAGTTCTACGTTTTGGGGTGCCTTGGCCTTGATTTATACGATTGATAAGGGCTTGATTGAACCGACGCGCATACTCTATATTCGCGCTGCTGTCACCATCTGTTGGCCATCCAACCTCACCAATAATAACAGGCATTGATGAGAAACCATTCTTTTCAAGTGCTGAAACGAGGGTGTCGAAGTTGGCGTCAAAGACATTGGTGTAAGATATGGAACCATCAACCACTGGGGCAGAGGTGCCATTGAAAAAGGCAAAGTCGACCGGGAAATTGGGGTCAGCATAAAGGCTGAGGAATGGGTAAATATTGATGGTAAGGGGAGCGTTGTTGTCTCTGAGAAACTTGATGATAGAGATCATGAGGTCATGGATATCCGGTCGAAAGTTGCCACCAGAAGGTAGGTCACTGTCTGTTTGGTACACATCTGCATTTAATGGTACTGTGACCTTTACTTGCCTTCCTAATCCAGCTTTAATCAAGGCTGCTTGAATATTTTGAAGTGCTGGAAATGTTGTACGAAGGAACATGTCTTTGTAGGAGTGGAGGAAAGGTTCATTTCCCACAGCTACGTACCTGAAATTTCCACGTCAACAAATGGCAGTGCATACATGTGCTAGTGCAGCAACCAAACACTCCACATAACATTCTATCATGGTTTAGGGGGCAAACTCCGGAAGTAGGTTTTGTTTGGAGGTAGGTTTTCCATTTCCAGAAAGTGGATGATAAAGGCAACACAAAAGCAGAGATGAAAGCGATCCAAAAAGAAAATGAAAAAGAATAAGGGGAAGGATTGGGTTCCTTGCAGCACATTACATGTGGGCTTCATGATTCAGTCCTGCAAGCATATAGAAAATGCAACAATGCATGTAGTTGAAAATACAGTGCCTTCATGCTGACGGTATCAAATTTAGCAAATCTATAGTTTTCTTTTCAAAAAACAATATTTTTGCTCTTCCCACCTCGTAGCTACCTCTCCATCAAACATTACATGATGCAAACCATATATATGTATGCTACAGGCTTTAAAAAAGCTTAACAGAGAACATGACCATTGAAAACAGAATCGTAGCTTGCTATAAAAGCTCTTCTGCTCAATGCTTCATGCACATCTAAAAAGAATCTGGCTTATTTCAGCAAAGAGTAGCCTCCATGGAATAATGGGGTGACAAAAATTAATAATATAAAAGCATTAAAAAGAAGATGGAAATCATAGAATTTACCTAATATCAGTCCCATATCTGGATATGTAGCTGGATACGTTTTGTTGGACCCAGTTGATAGCAACCTGGACGCTACTTGCAAGTGGTGCTAGGAATTCATTTGGTATCCCAACCATAACTTGGATACCAGACTTCCCTAGTGCCTTTAGAGCTGGAGGATCAGCCTCAAATAGCTTCACCTTATTAAAACGATTTTCCTTCAAAAGCTTGACCACTATGTTAGCCTGAAGTGGGTGAGTTGATTGAATCCCCCAGTTACATGACAGCCCTACTACTCCCTTAACTAGACCTTGATCACTACTAATTAGGCACAACAAGAAGAAGCATAACATGTAATGACGACCCATGTTTTCGTTTGAGACTTGGAATTTTTTTTTTTCGGTTTCTTGTTCTGGCAACTCTTTATATTGTACACGAAGAAGTAAGATATTAAGATGCAAAAAGTGAAGAGAAAGGTTTTCCTCTTTTCCAAGGAAAGGGAAGGAATTACAAAAAATTTCTACAAGGAACTGGATGCCAAGGAGAAACCCATTTGAATCATCAAGCACTTTTAATTTAGAAAATATACTTATATAACAAGAAAGGAATTGAGTGCCTGTGTTGGATGCCCTATCATATATATATATATATACATACACATATTAGGTTATCCATGGACAGGAATTAGGAATTTAGCTTTTTGATCTATTCCATATAGTTTGCTGGAAAGTTTCTTTCTTAATCTGCACTTTATTGTTGGTCCTTGCCAAAAGCCGGTTTCTTGATACTTGTTGGTCGTTACGAGGAATATTGCCTACGCAAAACAAAAATCCAGAAGTACCTCTGTCTAGTCATTGTTATAAGAAAAAAGCCCATCCAAGCCTAATATGACTGTTCCCTCTCTTTTCCTCGTATAAATATGATGATGGAAACCTTTTCAAGCTTTTTAACGAGAAATTATCCAGGGTACTATAACTCTACGTCATATAAGAACCTTCCATTTATTATATGTTATGTGTAAATTTTTTTATATGTGAGATAATAAAAACCCTAAATAAATAAAATAACCCTTCATCTTCTCCTTCCTTTGTCATCTCTTTCTCGGTAAATAAGTCTACGGATAAATAAATCATTGACTTAAGCAATGAAAACGAGTGCCTAGTAAACTGGAGTACCTTTTTCCTTTGTAAAAATGAACCAAGTTGATAAATATTTCTTTATCTCAAATTCCATGCCTAGAAAAGACAAGTCTCTAGCCAAAGCACTACCATAGTACTTTTCAATCTTTTCGGAGATCTACGTTGCAAAAGCCAATCACCAAAAGTCCGTTCCAATTTAAAGATTGTGTATGTATCATTTTGATTTTTGAGGGTTGAAAGAATTACCAACTCGGGCGGTGCCTTTGAGTGTGAAGGAGGAGATTGCAAATTGAAAATGAAAGATTCTTACAACGAAACTCAAGGTAGAATTCACAAATATAATCTTCTCGCCAAATCACGTACATCTACAACGAGGCGACTCTGTCTTCCAAAGATTCATGTCCATCTCGATTTCAATGTCAATCCCATTAAATAACACCGGAAAACTCTTACAATTAGTTTTTTTGAGAAAATAACTTCAACCATATATGTTTATGTTGTTTAAATGCTATTGCTTGGCCTTAAAAAATTGACATAAATGAGATCCTAGCTTAAGAAAAACCTTACAACAACGTCGGGAGAAATAAGCTACTCGCATTTAGGGTAGAGACGACGGAGGAAGGAGGAGTTGGGCGGCAAGCCGCCGGAGAGAGAGAGACGAGGGATGAAGGAGAAGATGAAACTTTCTTTAACTTATCCATCTTTTATCCCATATGTAAAAAAATTTCCACATGGCACACAATAAGTGGAAGGGGTCTTTGTATGACGAGGAGTTCCAGGACCCCTGGATAATTTCTCCTTTTTAACATAATAAATCATAACCATAAATAGGTAGTTGGTTTATTTGCAAGATAAAAATAAATAGAAAATAAAATATTTATGTTATGAAATAATGAATGTCCATCATCATATTCATCCACTTTTCATATTTCTACTACTCATGATTCTTAATATGATTCAATTCATCATTCAATATGAAAAATTGAAAGGGTAATGCAATTGATTATTCATAATCTCTTCCAATTCTCTCCTCAATTTTGAAGTCTATAAATAGGCTTAGTTGTTCATTAGTTGGTATACAAGTTTCCTAGAGAGAATAAGAGAAACTTTGAAGTTCTTATCACTTATATTCATATTATAGTGATTTCATTTTCTTGTCATCATTTTCTTCAATTCTCCTATTATTTCAATTTATTTTATAACACGTTATCAGCACGAAGTTCTAACCAATCAAGACAATAGACCATGAGGTATGTATCTACCAAAAGATTTAATCAATTATTTCAACAATTGGATTTCTTCTACACAAGTGCTCTACCAAAAGATCTAAATTATTTCGATCATTAAGAGATATGTATCTAATTTATTCATGTACTTTAAATCTATTGATACATGAAATATATATTTGAAAGACTTAAATGATCTACTAATGATCTAATATATGTTATTTGAAAAGCTTTAATTTTATTATTATATTTGTTCTTATTTTATAATATTATTATTATATATTGTATTATAGAATTTTTATCATATCAAACCTCATAAACTTGATTTGGTGACTCTTGATATTTTGAATAAGAATTATTGATTATGAGTGCTTGATTTTGAAAAAATAGTCTCTACTTTTTATGTTTTGGATATGTTCCTGCAGTAACATATTGAAAAAAAGAGTTTAAGAAATATTTTGGATCGATTTTATACTTATTAGTGGCTAAATAAAATAAAAAAATAAATCTCATCCAATTGGATCTACTCAATTCCCCGAAGTGAATGTGACAATTTATAATAATTTTAGACATGGATGAAGATGTGATCATAGCCATGGATATGGTCGAAATAATTATCATTATAATCGTAATGATCATAATATTACATCTCACCGCAAGAAGTGGATAACTATGAAAAAAGAGAGAATAAAAATAGATAAAGTCGGTATTCGAACAATAAATATTATAGATTTGGAATGAATGAATATTGGTTATGTACCTATCATACACCAAAGCACCTCATTGAGCCTTGTCAAGCCTTATTGAAAAATAAAGAGTAAAATATAAAGACCATTTTTATATATCAAAATAATAGTAATTGAAATTAATTACTTGTTAGTTTTTCTATTTATAAATAAAATATTTTATATTTCTTATAATTTATGTCGTATATTGATGGTTATAAATTTATTTTACTATTTATTTATTTGTTTGTGTTTATGAGGAATATATTGATTTATTTATTTTGTATTGATTTATTTGATTATTTATTGTTAATATTATATATGATAATATTAATTTAATAGAAAGTTCTAGAAGAGCAACTATATTATTATCTAAAGAGATAGATTTTAAAGGCTCTAGAAGAGCGATTATATCATGACTTGAAGAGATAAATTTTGAAGACTTTAGAAGAGCAAATACATTATTACATAAAGAGATAACTTTTAAAGACTCTAGAAGAGTGAATATATTATTACTTGAAGAGATAACTTTTAAAGGCTTTAGAAGAGTCGATATATTATTGCTTGAAGTGGCATAATTTAAAGGCTCAAGAAGAGCAAATATGTTATTATCTAAAAGGATAAATTTATTATGAATGATGTACTATTCTCTTCAAAGTCTTATAGAAATTTATTGAGTTTCAAAGATATTCATCTGAATTGATATCATATCAAGATAGCAAATGTGAATGCTTATATGTTATAATCATTATATCGACTAGAAAATATCTATGAAAAAAATTTATCTCGTTTTCTCTTCTAGTATTTATTATAAATATTGAAATGATTGAAACAAATGCTATAGTAAACCGAAGTTTACTAATTCAAATACTTGTATTATGTGACATGACCAATTGTGTCATCTTGGGTCTTTCATGATCGAAAAATTATTAAAAATTTGTATGGACATCTATTGAAGAGCCAAAAGATTCTTCAATTTAATGAATTTTCAAGTTACGTATGTTGTCAAACAAATTGATTGTGAAGCCATCACCAAGTAAAATTGAGATTGTATCTCTCATAATTTTAGAATGTATTCAAGGTGATGTATATGGATTAATTCATCCACCATGTGGACCATTTAAATATTTTATAATTTTGATAAATGCATCGACAAGATAGTCACATATATGCTTATTATCTACTCGAAACCCGACGTTTTTGAGATTGCTAGCAAATAATTTGATTTCGAGCATAATTTTTAAATTATGCCATTAAAACAAGTCACCTTGATAATGCTAATGAATTTATTTCTCAAGCATTAAATAATTATTGATTGGCTATAAAAATAAAGGTTGAACATCCTGTTGCTCATGTTCATACTAAAAAAGGTTTAGCAAAATCATTTATCCAAAGGCTCCAATTAATAGCTAAACCATTATTTAAAAATAAAACTCCCTATTTATGTTTGGAGACATACAATCTTACATGCAAGCAACACTTATTCGCATATGACCCATAAGTTATTAGAAATTCTCTCATCTTCGGTTGATTTATGGTCATGAGTCAAATATTTCTTATTTAAGAATTTTTTGACATTGTAGTGTATATCCTTAGTGCTCCTTCATAAGAAAATAAAATGGGCACTTAAAGGAGATTGAGAATATATATTGGATTTGAATCCTTTTTGATAATTACATATCTTGAATCATGAATAAGTGATATTTTTACGAGCTTGATTTATCGACTCGTCATTTTGATAAAATAGTTTTTCCAACATTAGGGGAGAGAATAAACAAAATAAGCGAGTTGGAAATGTTGAAAAAAAGAGATGACATAAAGTACTCTATCTTTATATCAATTTGGTACAAAACAATGTGAACTAGAAGTTCGGAAGATAATTCATTTACAAGGTATTACAAACCAATTGATAGATGCATTCTCATATCCTAATAGAGTAACTAAAATGCATGTCCTCATTGAGAATGCTCCTATTAGAATTGATGTCCTAGAAGGATCATCTATTAATATTATGGCAAATGAATCTAAAGCACGCCCGAAGCGTGGAAGACCGATCGGTTCTAAATATAAAAATTCCTAAAAAAAAAGGGTAAGATGAAAATATAAATGATGAAAATATTTATAAAATGGTCAAAGATATTTCGATAATAGGTTTCGGAAGAAGTCCAAATACTTGAGAAAAATCAAGAGATTTTATAAATTATATCAATGCAGGGAGAAAATAGAACCGAAAAGAAACATTTATTGATAAGATTTTTACATATAATATTGTAATTGATATTATGGATGAAAATAAGGATCCCGAGCCTAAATTATTGAAGAATGTTGACATAAAGATGATTGGCCTAAATGAAAAGAGCAATCCGGACAGAAATTATGTTCTCCTACAAAAAGAATAGTTTTTTTGAACCCATAGCTAAAATACTTGAAGATGTTAAGCTAGTGGGATACAAATATGTATTTATGCGAAAATGAAATAAGAAAGATGAGATTGTAAGATACAAAGCAAAACTTTTAACATAAAAGTTTTTGTAAAGAATTGACATTGACTATGAGGAGACATGTTGTCCTATAATAGATGCAATTGTCTTTTGTTATCCATTAGCTTGGAAAAATATATGAAAAACATTCATATGCATGCATTTAATCAATGTGATCATAGTTTATTTTTTCATTTGAAATTATATCGGTATAAAAGTCCTAGAAGGACTTAACATGCCGAAGCATGTAATACATATTCTCGAGAAAAGAATTCAATTAAATTATAGAGATCTCTATTAGGATTATTTTAGTATTTTTTTATTATTTTGGTTTTTAGAAATTCAATTTATACTTTTTATATTTTATTTTTATATCTACTCGTTTATTACTAACCTACGTGCATGTGATATAATCACTTTAATGATTATTTGTTAAAAGAAAGTTATAAAAAATAACCCTATTTGTTCATATGTTTTTATTTGAAAAGGGGTTTATAGTATATGTTGATAACTTAAATATTATTGGAACTCCCGAATAGATTCCAAGTGTCATAAGTTACCTAAAAAGAGAATTTGATGTGACTATCTTAGGAAAATAAAATGTTATCTCGACCTGCAGTTTGAGCACTCGGAGAATGAGATTTTCATTCAACGATCAATTTATATCGAAAAAGGTTCTACAATGATTATATATAAAGATTATTCATTGACTAGCCCAGTGGTAGTTCATTCACTTGATATCCAAAAAGACTTTTTCGACCTCGAAGATAACGAAGAACTACTTGGTCTTGAAGTACTATATTTTTAGTGCCACTAGTGCATTGATGTATCTTGCTAATAACACTCGACTCGATATAGTCTTTTCTATAAATTTGTTAGCAAGTCATAGTTTTGTTTCAATATAGAGACATTGAAATAAAGTTAAATATATACTACGTTATCTTCGAGGAATAATTGATATGAGCTTATATTACTCCAATAAATCAAAGACAATATTAATTGGTTATGCAAATGTAGGTTATTTATCCGATCTACACAAAGCTCGATCACAACTTATTATATATTTACATATGGAGATCCAACTATATCTTTGTGTTCTATAAAGCAAACTATAGTTGCCACATCTTCAAATAATGCGTAAATATCAATTCACGAGGCAAGTCAAGATTGCGTTTGGTTAAGATCAACGATTCATCGTATCCGAGAGACATGCAGTTTATCTACCGGTAAAAGAAGTTGCAACAATATCATATGAGAATAATGTCTGTTTGCATAATTTCATTGAAGGAATAATACATCAAAGTGACAATCCAAGTAGATTTATTTGCTAAAGCATTACCTACCACAACTTTTGAGAAGATGATTCACAAGATTAGAATGCATCATCTTAGAGATCTTAAATAATGCCTTTAACAGGAGGAGACCAAAATGGGGATTAATGTGTGCAAAGAATATTGTACTCTTTTTCTTTCACTAGGATTTTTTTTCCACTGGGTTTTTTCATAGTAAGGTTTTAACGAGGTATGTTCCTTGTACAATGGACATTCAAGGAGGAGTGTTATGAAATAATGAATGTCCATCATCATGTTCATCCACTTTTCATATCCCAACTACTCATGATTCTTAATATGATTCAATTCATCATTCAATATGAGAAATTAAAAGAGTGATGCAATTGATTATTCATAGTTCCTTTCAATTCTCTCCTCAATTTTGAAGCCTATAAATAGGCTTGATTGTTCATTAGTTGGTGTACAAGTTTAATAGAGAGAATAAGAGAAACTTTGAAGTTTTTATCACTTATATTCACATTATAATGATTTTATTTTCTTGTCATCTTTTTTTTTTTCAATTCTCCTATTATTTCTATTTATTTTATAACAATTTATTCTATTTATTTAAATTTAATGATTTTTATTCAATTAAATAGTTTGCTATATTTTTAAGAACACGAGAGAGTTAAATGTATAGCTATCATGTCTTTTGGTGAGACCGAGGGTATTATATGGGATTTTATCATGATCTGTTAAAATGTAAGGTAACAGAGGCTTTTAAAATATTATTATGCTTAAAAGTATAAAGCTCTTTATTTCATGAATTTTACCTTTTATTTCATATAATTTTGATTTTTTTAAATATTACTTTATATTTTTTATTAGTTTTGGAGAAAAATGGATAAAAATAATGTTTTCTTTTTTATACAAGACAAAAAAAAAAAAAAAAAGAAAAGAAAAAGAAAAAGAAAAAAGAACAGTGTTGGATTTTGGTAGGACATTGTATTAGGGAGTCCCGTGAACTTTAACGAAGAACAAGAATATATAACAAAAAAAGAAAAAAGAAGAAGGGATTTTGTAGAGGAAATTAGTGATTTTGATGAATTTAGTGGTTCACATTTTTGTTTTTGGAATCTATTATTTTTATGCGTTTATTTTGAGTAAATTATAAATTACACTCTTTCCTTTCCAAAAACAAATTAATTAGTTTTTTTTGTTTTAAAGATTAATTATTTAAATTTTTTTACTATTTTTAAATTTATTTTGATTTTAAAAATAAAAAGATTAATTAAAAATATATTAAATTAATTATGATTAATATTAGTTAAAAAATTAAATAATTAATAAAACTAAAAAAAATTAATTTATTTTTGAAAACGAGAAGAATAATTTATAATTTATTCCTTCATTTTTTTCCTCCTTAAATTAAATATCATTTACTAGTCGTACCACTAAAAAAAAAAAAAAATCACGAGAAGGTGTCGGTGAGATGGCATTATCAGACCGGAAGGGACCAACTTAAACTTACTGCGAATGTATCCCCCATTCCCCACAATCGCTGAGGATAGGTTCCCCCAAATAATGAAATAATCTCAATCTTTTATTGGATTTGGAACCACATTAGGATGCAAAGGATAAATACAAAAAAAAAAAAAAAAACATTAATTATTATTGTTTGGTTACATAAACAGGAAATAAAAAAGTAGTTTTGGGCATAGATTAAACGACTCCAAACCACTTTGACAAAGAACATCGGCGCTTCATTTATTTTCATGGTTTTAATGATTAATACTGGTGACGTTTTCTTACATAACATGCACTTTTTTTTTTTAATGATAAAAGAAAATTCAGACCTATTTATATATTAATTGAAATTAAGATTTTTTTTTCAGTCGATTTTAAGAGATACTTTCTACATTTATATGATATGTTATAATATTAACATGAAGATTTAAACTAAAAAAAAAAAAAAAAAAAAAAGAGGGATCAATGTTCAATTAGTTTGTTGGTGAAAGCAGCTTGAATTTTGACTTTAGCATAGACAGTAAAATTTTTTCTTCCATATACCTAAAACATGTAATGTCGATGGGGAGGCGTCAATCAGAGCACCAATTCTGAAAAACAAAGTCAAGTACAGCAACTTTATGACAGTTGGGAGGGAGAACTCTGAAACTTTTCATCACCACGAACCAGTTAGTACTTAGTAGCCATTAAAAGAAGGAAAAAAGCAGAATCCCGTTTTTCTCGCTGACTGAATCAATGTGTTTGCTTCTATCTGCATTATTCTCCTTTTGCAGGCAGCAGTTATTTTACTACTTCGTATTTTGCTCCTCTTAAGTAGTAAATCTAAATCTAAGCTGTAAATGTTTGGTGACTGAGGTGGAGAAGATGCTTTGTCTTAAAACAGAAGTTCTCCACGATGACCTCGACAACAACCATCCTAGTAATGGTAACACCAATGCTGAAACTGGAAGTGGTGGCAGTTCTGGTGGTTTTCTTCTTCCTATCAATCTGTAAGACACCCCCTCCCCCTATATTTTCTTTTCTAAGTTTATTATTTTCACTTCCATTTTCTGTTTATTTACGAATGAGTGACTGATAATTAATTTATAGGGGAGGTTCGATTCATAAATATTTGTGGAGGATTGGAAAGGTGACTCTACTACTACTACTACTACTACTACTATCACTCGTACTCGATCTGTTTCTTCTGGAGATGGGTCTCCTCTTTTTCTGATTTTGAGGTACCTTCTTCCACCCCAGTTACTTGCTTACAGCTCTTTCTTGTTTGCAAATTTCTCAAATACGTTAAGCTGAAACCCATTAATTTCGAATACCACATGTTGAATCAATTGTGAAGATTGCCTTTTCTTGCAGCTTTTACTTCATGTTTCCACTTCCATTGTTCTGGAAATAGCTATGATTTCTCAGTGGTTTTTCCATCTCCTGCAATAGTGTCATATGACATAATGAGATCCTCTACTGAAACCAAAAGAATGAGAGAGAACCAAAGTTGTTGGGTCGGGGGCAAATAATTTGGCAACCATCAAACTTAATTAGATACTACATGCTCCAAGTAAAATCAACTTGTGGATTGGTGAAATGGCACTAAGGGGCAAAAGTAAACCTTAAGTTATGCCGTACACTCTAATGAATCGTAGACTTCATCACTTAGGTGCTATGCAAATTCTCCTCCTGCCTTTCGTTTTTGTTACTTGGGAATTTACTGTTTTTTTATTTTTTTTGAAAGAAATTCCTAAATGCACAGTGTTTTCAGGATGCTAAACCCCGCAGCAAAAGAGGTGGGCAAATGAAAGGTGAGGATATGTCTTTTTACAAACACCAGCTTGAGCAAGATGTAAGCAGATTCAATATCTCTTCGTATTTTCTTTGATCTTCATTCAAGTGGACTTGTAGATATGTTAGATATGATTGATCAATGATGTTGTTTGACCATTTTAGATAAAAAAGTTGCAACAACAGTTGCAAGAGGAGATTGCTGTGCGCTTAGCTTTAGCAAGTGCTGTTGAACACTCAGATTCATCCTTCTCAAATTCACCTTGTCAGCTTCCAGATAAGGTCAATGCCCCCATTAACATTTTTTTTTCCTATCACATTTTTGTCTGAAGCTTCCTGCTATTCTTCTAACTGCAAGCTTCTATATGTGGAATGCAGGCTCAAGAGCTCTTGGATAGCATAGCTATTCTGGAAATCTCTGTATCCAAGCTAGAACAAGAATCAGTTGCCCTCCAATATCAGCTTAGTCAAGAGAGAAATGAGCGTCGTCTTGCTGAGTACCATTTGAGGCATTTTCCCTATCCACCGTCATTACCATTCGATTGTTCTCAATCTGACCTGACAGAAACGGTATTCTCTTGAGTTAGTTCAATTTGCACATCTCTTTTGTCAGACTTATGTTGCATTTTTTTTTTCTTTTTGCACATTTGAACATCAAAATCTGACTACTTTTTTTTAGCTCCGCATTGGAGTGCACTTTCATAATCGTCTTCTTATAAGTAAAGAATGATGAAGAAATGTGGCAATAAAGTCTATAGTTTGTTGCAGAGCATGAGAACCTGCAGCATAGAGAAAGTGGAAGGAAAGGTGGAGTATAATATTCTGTTGCCAGATGTAATTAGACAGCCAGATAAGGATCATTTTGTTGAGAAACTTTGGCACCATCCTAATCGGTTATCAGAAGAAATGGTCTTGTGCATGAGAGATATTTTCCTCTCCTTGGCAGATCTGTCCAAACTTTCATCTCCTGAGTGTGTAGCTTCACCATCCTCACCTCAGGGCCATCTTTCTTATTCTTCTTTGGCATCTTTCTCAGACTCGCCCATAAAGAACTCCTTAATGAAGAGTCCCCCAAATGACATGGAACGTGGTTCTGAAATCGCTGCAAGATATTGCAAGTTTGATCCGTACAGAGTTCCTGGTAAAGTAGATTGGACAAAAAGTATCGGAACCTACTGCAGTGCTGTTGAGGTCTCTTGGTTGTCTGTTGGGCAGAAAGAGCTGGAGTATGCTTCTGGAGCTCTCAAAAGATTTAGGTTAACTTTGTAACTCTCTTTTAAGCTAATTAATTGAAATCCCATTTTCTAGCTGCTTGTGTGTTAGAATTTTTACCCCTGTAACATTGGATCACTGCAATTTTGTCTTTGGATTCTTTGGTGCTGTTAATTATGTTTTTCTAACCGATACTCAAAGGCAGTCTGAATTCACTTAGTTGAGTGTGTTTGAATGACATTATTACATGTTCTCGAGTAGAGCAATTGGTATACACATAAAGTTATCTTTTTTTTTTTTTAAAATCGATTTAAATTATTTCCGCTGAGGGCTCTAACTTGTTATTCCTATCCTTTGTGCTTTACAGGTTACTTGTTGAACAGTTGGCTGAAGTTGACCCATCTTGCCTGAGTTGCAATGAGAAGTTGGCATTTTGGATCAATGTGTACAATGCGTTGATTATGCATGTAATTCTTTTTCTGCACCTACCCATCCATTTTCCAATTTATGCATTGTAATAATTCTATACATGCACATCCTTTTCCGGAGTTTCTATCTACCAGGTTTCTTTTTTAGAAGTATTGTGTTGCCTCAAGTAAGCTCTTAAACAAACACTCTGCAGAAACCTTCCCTAGAAACTTAGCATGCTACATCTCAGTTTCTCACCATTTGCTCATGCGAGTCAGACCTTTGATTACAATAATCCAACTTTTACATCTCTCACTGTTTATTCTTGGTTTTCTTCTTATGTTTCTCAGGCATTTTTAGCATACGGAGTTCCAAGAAGTGAAATTAAATTATTTTCCTTAATGCAGAAGGTTTGATATTGTAGTTCTTTCACTGCTGCTCCTATCCTCTCTCCTTGTGATTGTTCAGGTTCAAAACAACGTAAACAAAATTATACACTGCTATGCAGGCTGCTTACATCATTGGAGGGCATTCCACTAGCGCTGCTGACATTGAATACAACATTCTGAAGATGAAACCTCCAGCACATCGCCCACAAATAGTACGTACCATGTGTGATTCCCCCTCAATGCCTAGTGAAATTCATCCCGTGCCCCATAAAGTTCTGGACAAGGCCTGCTATTATAATTGATTCAATTTCCTTTTTTGGATGCTCTAGATCAATGATTCAGTGGGACCTTGTTGCCAATAGATAACAAAAATTTGAGCTTTAACTTTATTTGTTGATATTATTCTCTGCCAAATCAAGTGCACAGTATGACTGTATTCTTTCATTTAGAGGTTCTGTGAAATGGACTGAAATGTTTAGGCGGATTTTAATCTTTTTCCATTATTAATTTAACATATGTATTTCACTTCCATTGCTTTCATCTCAGGCCTTGTTTCTTGCTCTTCAGAAATTTAAGATAACTGAGGAACAGAAGAAGTTTTCCATTGATCAACCTGAGCCTCTCCTAGCTTTTGCTTTAAGTTGTGGGATGCACTCATCACCTGCAGTAAGTATATTTGGCTTCTTGTTGGTTCTTTGCTTTGTTAGTTATTTAATCGATTTTCTTGGAATAGAAGCAATTAGCCTGTCGAAGGAAATTAGAAGGAAGGCATAAGTTTTCTCAATCTTCCAAAGAAGAATTTTTATGAATATTTATTCTCTGAAGCTATTATCTCATGCCCGACAAGTTGAATGTAATGTTCAGGATGAAATATAGCCTGCTTTAGAGAATTGATGTGGATTTACCTGTAAATTGGTAGTTGTTTAAAGAAACGGAATGCCACAGATTGCTGTGTGGTCTTTTATTATAAAGGATTCCTTTTGAGTACAACATGATTGCAGAATGCAGAGACAGTAACAAGTACTACCCAGTTGATGTACTGATGTGGCTGGACTATAGTGAATTTTAGTTTCTTTGGTAGTAAAACGTTGTCTAGGAATTAACATCATTATCTATTATGAGCCATCCATAAATTGTAAGATACTTTTATTGGCTTGCCCATTTGTCTTCTGTAATCAGGTGCGGATCTTCAGGCCTGAAATTGTTAATGATTTACTTCATAATTCATTGAAAGATTATGTCCAAGCATCTGTTGGTATAAGCAATAAGAGTAAACTATTGGTGCCCAAGTTGCTGTATTGTTTTGCCAAAGGCATTGTGGAGGATTTGCTACTGCCTGAGTGGATCTGCCAATTTCTCACCCCGGAGCAAGCTGTTGTGGTTAGAGATCGTCTATCAAACCACAAGTGGAGACTCCTTGGTGCCCGAAGCTTCTCTATCCTACCCTTTGATTCAAGGTTCCGCTTTCTATTCCTGATGTAGAACACTGGAGGAAGGTTTGTTAACTTTTTACAGGTGAAGCATTTGATTCTTGCGAATTCACAGTAGAGTCATAGCTGCTTGCTCAAGCATTTGATTCTTCAGTTTCAGATTATGTAAATACACAAATTAGATCAAGAGAAGGCTATAAATGCTGAAACCATCTATGAAAGAAGAGTTGTCCCAGATTCAAGATTGATCACTGAACTTCATCAACACTCCATTTTAGTTCTATCACAAATGGTTTAGCATTATTAATTATAATTCCAAGTATGTTTGCTACAAATTTAGCTTCCCCAATTGTAGACTAACAACTTGAAATCAGATAAATATGAGTTTCCCTGCTGAAGGAGAAAGGAGGGTCATTAGATTAAACCCAGTACACTCTGAATGATCTTTCATACGAGATTTCCTTGTTCGGACATTAATGTTCTGATATCGATTCCAGAATGCGGTAACAAATGCTCAAACACGAACTTGTAGAAGTTGGGATGGAAGCTATAGTGGCTATACTTCACAAATACTGCATTTGAAACAATTTGATAGTGTTTAATAAAACTGAAAATTAAGTATTGAATCTGTTAAGTATTGAATTACAAGTGTTGAATAATTAAGTACTGAATATATTACTGATAAGCTATTTTGTATTTACGAAAAATTAAGGTAGTGTTTGATAAAATTAAAAATTAAGCGTTAAATTTGTTAAATATTGAATTTTAAGTGCTGAATATGTTGTTGATAAGTTATTTGGTATTTACGAAAAATTAAATGCTGAAGATAATAAGCTTGTTTGATAAGTACTGTTGATGAACATATTAAGGTTATATACATAATAATTTTAATCTTATAATTATAACATGATTTTTGTTTTTAATACAAATAAAAATATATACATAGATGTATTTGAATGTAAAATAAATAAAAATTCAATAAAAATAATTATTAATAAAGAAAAAATAAACAGTCTCACAAAAATAGACTAAACAAGTTTTTAACAATTACTCGTACAATTTTGGGTTGGGGTAGAATATATATATACTGCATCTGTCTTTTATTCCTATATTATAACATGGATATATCCTTGCTCAGGTCTTTAATATAGAATCCCGAAGGAAAATGTTAATTTTAAGTTTGCAAAACTGAGCTAAAATACTGTATCCTGTCTAACCCGGCCAGGCCATGATACCTCTTTTTGATTGTATTTGCAAACTTGACATTGCATGTCACTTTGCCATAAAAATCCTATATAAGTCCTGCAAAACTACACTTCGAGTATTGATGCAGGAAATCCAAAGGTCTAAATACTTGTTTTGCAATAAAAAAAGAATGGAACTTTCCTTCATCTCCCTGCTTCCCTATGCAATCCTCTTCATCATCACCGTGGTTTCACTAAAACAAACACAAATATTCTAGTGCGTCTCTCAACATCCTCCCGCCTAGCAATACTGGTTTGCCATTTATCCGTGGAAGTCTAGAATTTTTGACGACGGGGCAAAAGGGTCGGTCGGAGAAGTTCATATTAGACAAAATGGCAAAGTTCTCATCCAAAGTCTTCAAAACCTCGTTGTTTTTTGAACCAACTGTAGTATTTTGTGGGGCAGTCGAGAACAAGTTCTTGTTCTCTAATGAGAACAAGCTTGTCACAGCATGGTGGCCTGACTCTGTCAACAAAATCTTCCTTTCCTCTCAACAAACTTCTTCACAAGAAGAATCCAGGAAAATGAGAAAGCTCTTCCCACTTTTTTCAAGCCAGAATCACTTCAAAGATATATTAGCGTGACGGATGAGATCCCACAAAGGCACTTGGCATCTGATTGGGAAGGCGAGCAAGAACTCGGTGTTTTCCCTTTAGCTAAGACGTATAATTTTTGGCAAGCTTGTCGCTTATTTCTAAGCATGGAAGATTTGAGGAAGTCCAAAAGTTTGCCAAGCCCTTCAATGATTTGGCCGCTGGGATTATATCCATACCCATCGACTTGCCGGGGACACCCTTTAATCATCACAAAAAGATGTTATTCACGTCACTTTAAAATATTACAAAATCCATTTTTATAATTGGCATGCTTACTTTGTGCTTATAGACGATGATGGAATGAAAGCACTGATAATGAAGAAGCTCTTCTCTATTTTGATGATGGGATAGTAGAAATCATTTCTCTATAGGTTTGTATAATTAGGGTTGTAAGAATATACGAGAGTTATATAGTTATATTTAAAAAATTTTAAAAATCTTTTAATTGAGTGTGTTAATAAAAAATTTTAAGTTTAACTTAACTTTTTATATTAAATACTACAATTTAATTTTTTAAATTACTTAAATAAGTTATCAAACACATCATAAGTGTTGAATATAATAATGTTATTTGACAATTATTTTAATCTTACAATTGTAATATGATATTTTTTTAACGTAAATAAAAATATATACGTATATATGTTTGTGTATATAAATAAATAAAGGAATAAAAATTTAATAAAAATGATTATCAATAAAAAAATTAGATTCGGTATAAGGTAGCAATAATTATAGTATCATGTGCAAAATAAAACCCAATATTTATCACTTTCTTGAATGTTTAATTTCCTATTAAAAATGAGTTAAAAGTTATAAATCTGAAGGTATATTAAAACGAAGAGTACTTACATGTGTTAAGTTGCCTAACAAAGCTTTGAGAAATTGTTGTGCTTGAAGTATCTGGGGAGGAATATGGTACTAAAGGCGTAGGGATCCCAAACAACAAAGCTGTTGTTTCCTCTACTCCAGGAAATAATATGGCTTGCACTCGAATCTTCTATTATATCATAAGTTTTAGAGAGAAATGGAGGAGGATCTGGGTTATGGAGTCCCTTCATTGGTTGTGGAATAGCTGTAGATGCCATGCCTAGTGAGTATGTACTTGAACTAGCTCTTGTATTACTCCTCCGTGATTGCTCAGCGATTCATGATATGGAAAGTTCTGATCACCTAGAGGGACAAGATTTGAGATGGATTAGTCTCTCTCTCTCTCTTTTTTTTTTAGTGTGATTTTGCTACTAGGATGATGTGGAGACTGATTTGGTATATACGCTTGATCTTGAGGAGAACGCAGTTTGGGATATGTAAACTTTTTAATTAGAACCGGTCTTTTAGGGACTAAATACTAGTTTCATTGAGATGATTGCAGAATCATTTTTCAATAGGTTGTATAATTAGGGTTATAAGAACATACGAGGATTATATAGTTATATTTAAAAATTTTTAGAAATCTTTCAATTAAATGTGTTAATTAAAAAATTTTAAGTTAAAAACTTTAACTTACCTAATTAAATAGATTTTAACTGAATTTAAATTTTAAATATGAGATCATTTAGATTATCAAATAAACTTTTTAAATTAAGTACTATAATTTAATTTTTTTAAATTATTTAAATAGGTTATCGAATATACACGTGTTTGTTCATTTGGTTATTAAGTCCATTAACCTAGTCGATAATTGATACTGTATGTACCATGAGAATCAATCAAGCACTACGGAGAGGAGAGACTCTTAAAAGCTTTTGATTGATTATTATACTTTTAATACAACAAATGCTAATATTATAACATATCTACAATATTAATATTAATATGTAAATCCCTCCCACCTCTAATTAAAAAAAAAAAAACCAACATTGAAGAAATTCTGAAAAAAAGAAAAATTATTAAAACCTAAAAAATAGGTTAATCTAGTTTTTCCAATATTTTCTTATTTGTTAACCACATAAAACCATTAAAAACATGAAAAAAAAAGCTTCATAAATCACTCATAACCTCTATAGTACATTATTAGATTTTATTTTGCCTATCAATATATAAAAAGAAGCTAAAAAGAACAATAACTATAAAATCTAATAATAATTAAACTACATCAAATTACTTAATTAGATCTTTATTTTTTATGAGAATTTTTTTTTTGTTATTGTAGTATATTATTTATTTATTTATTTATTTTTACTTTTTGGAAAATGAACCACAACATTTATATTATTCCTTTTGACAAATTTTACCAATTAAAAAATGAAAAAAAAAGGTTCATAAAATTTTAATTCAACCTATACTATTGATTCTATTCACATCACATATAATTAAAAATAACCTCTTTCAAATAAAAAGATTTATTCTAAGGACATATTATCGTATTAAAAATTAGTAAGATTTTAAATAAAATTGTTGTTCACATAATGCACTTTACATATTTATAAAATATATATATTTTTTAATAAATGACTCCCTTTGGCAAAATAATTCAGAAAGATTTTGGTAATGATAATAATCAATTATAGATATTTACTAAATATATGTTATCAAAATCAAACTTTAAAAATAATATCATATTTTTATTTTAATATGTAATTATATTTATTCTTACATTCTAGCATATCAATTAAAATTTGATAGTTTGATGATTTTTATTTTCATCATATAATTTAAAATAACTTAAATTTTAAATAAAATGAAAAAATATTATTTTATTTCTATTTAAAACAACTTTTCGTATGCATTACAATAAACAATGAAATTCCTTTTGTTTCTTCTAATTTTACAAGAAAAGACATGAAATTTTCTTATAACAACATATGATGCAAAAAATGTATTTTCAATTTCTAACTATGGAGGTAAATAAATTGGTGCAATTGTTTTAGTGTATTATTTTTAAGAGATCTAATTATAATCAGTCACACATATACATGCAACAAACTCATATATATCCTAACTACTAACTATTTTAAGTCTATAGCTTTTATTTCAACACAATTAAAATTTATTTATATATTTTAAAAATTAAACAAACTAAATTAATTAACAAATTATCAAGATTTCAGATTTTAAGAAGAAGAAGCTGAATTGATGCAGACTAATGTAGGGTTGATATAGGTGCAATTGATGCTCTTATGCCGAGTGTTCAGGTAAGTCCGTTCGAAGATATTTCTTCTGTCTTTTCCATCAAAAAGACAACTTCCGAAGACTTGAGTGAGAAGAGTAG